GTTACTCTAATATATGACCATAGCTTGCTTGGTTGGCTTTCTTTAACAGTTGTTGCATATCCCCAAATTCATGATGAGCTGGTATAAATTTGAAGGAAGTCCCAGATAAACTGTAGATCAATCACTGTGCATTTTGAGGATAAGCACCTTTTCATGAAAAGGAAGCTATTTCTGCTTAATTTCCCATATTCCTGAGTTTTCAAAATAAAACATGTCACAAACAAGATTCGTGCAAGTCAACAAAAGATGAAAACCATTCATAAGATACCTTCATTGAAATTCTTTGATGGTGATAAATATGGTTAATATTATAAACTGGACAAATCACTTGCGGTTAGGCCAAATCTGTGATAATGAATAAAAAATATAGTCAACGAAAAGAGTGAAAATCTTATATAACCTGGCGAAATTAACAGCAGAACTGCAATGTTGAATAAATATGAAAATATGCTCTTGTCAGATAACGCATAACTTTTCCGAGACCAGAATTCCAGGTATATAAGCGGCAGAAAATGATAGAAGTACAAGTACCTGAAATATTGTTCGAAATGAAGACGGATAACGCTAGCAAACAGAATGATGCGAGGCGCATCTTCCAGTGCAAATACTCAAACACCATGGAGCCGTTATCTGCTATAATGCCCAAAGGCAAGCAGGAGCAAATGGGCATTGACACCGTGAAATCTGGTCTTGGATGAGTTATGAGTTACGTGAGCTACAGTCAAAACAATTGGATGGTACTTAGGAGGATCTAAATTGCCGTGTAGCCTCGGCAACATCTGGCCGAGATGCCGTAAAAAATTCATAAAATCATGCAGATAAACGGATCTGAGTTACAGTAGTTATATGAAGTACCCGTTGACGTGACACGCCAATGAAAAATCATCCATTGTTTCAGCTGTTCGATTGGACAACACGTTTCTAATGATCTCGGCTTTCGTTCAAACAAACCAGTGCTCCTCAGTACAGCGAAGAATAGAAGAGGCGATGTCCGAGTCGGCCGTGTCCATCACAATCACGGTGCTGACCGACGTGATCAGCTTCGGGATCGGCTACTTCACGTCCTTCCCGGCCGTTCAACTCTTCTGCGTCTGTACCAGCGTCGCGATGGCTGTGACCTTTCTCTATCAGCTGACGTTTTTCCTGGCGCTTTTGGTTATGCATGCCCGGAACGAAGCCGAAGGACGACATGCATTAATTCCGTGCCTAGCAACCGTCACTGTCGACCAAAAACTAGGTACTTCAACATAATTTACGTAAATGCTTTTACGATATTATTTTAATCGTTTTTGAGGGTCATAGTTCTTCATGACGATGGTCGTTCATGAATTACTGCTCCTCAGAGCCATACGGTTTACAAAATGCTTGACTTTCTTACATCGTTTGCATTTTGAGGGACCATATCACATGAGCAGTTTACGAAAAATGTCACATAATGTTAGTGAATACCGTATGACACAGTGATGTACGCATATGCTGAATAATACTTTTGTTTAGGCCGGCAATGGTAGGTTTCGGAATTTAAACATTTCAGTGATTTGAGAATGACAGCTGAACTGCTTCTCTAACCAAAGGAATTTTTCGACGTTCAAGCATGTCTTAACAACAGACCGTTTCGTACCCGTTTCTCGAAGAGATACACCAAGGCGTCGTGTCGTTGATTGTATGTTCAGTCGAATTCATACTTAAGGCAAACCTTGAGCAGACTCGAATCCGGGAACTCTTCAATGCCAGTCCAAAGCTCAAAGTAGAAAGGAGATGGCATTTGAATTGTGTGCAGTAAATCTCAGTCAGTAGTCCCTCATTATATTCGCTCCATAATGAGTTTCAGAGTCGAACTCATTCGCTGGTAGCATGCACCAACCCCTGGATTTCTTGAGTCATTGTTCTTGGTTCCTTCTAGAACAAGATGTGGACGTATTCTGAGGAGCAGACAGAGCAGGAAAACCGGTGGTGAAATCCTGGGTAAAGGTCATTCGCCGAAAGTCTCCATCTTTTAATGATAATTTCGAACAACTGCAGAGCTATCCTTGCA